CGAGTTTGTGTACGGTTCGGGTCGCGTGTGCGTCTCGTTTACGTGCCCCTGTGTCTGTCCTCCTTTAGTACATAATATTGTAGGTGGTATCAAAATATTCAGTAGAACGTCGTGTTACGTGAAACGACAATAATAATGTTTGTTACGTGAAACGACAATAATAAGAATGTTTGCCCTCCCATACACTTGCTAAGAGCTTCTCAGTGCCCACAATGGTTCCTTACTTCCCCCTCCACTCCCCATGAAACCCATGGGCCCCCCACCGCGTGTGTCTGTCCGTTCGCACGCCGTGCAGTGCTGGGCTGTAGCTGCATACATTCGCATCGGCTGAACGAGAGGCGGGCATCATCACCAACATCGCCGCCGATGGCTAATGGTTTAAAAAAAAACGCCCTTGTCTCCGGAGCAGCGACGACGCTACGTTGTTGCTGCGCTGGGTAACGAACTGCGCTGTAGTACGCAAAAAAGTGAGAGTGTTGATGTGGCGCATGCACAACGATCATTCCGTCCATTATTTCTCCAGCACGAGGGAGGTGCATAATCTGTACGTCGAGTCGTAGGTACCACATTCGTCTACTGCTGTGGGGTTCGCGCTTTCCGCGTTGTCTGAGGCGGCAGTAGCCGTTAGTCTACATAGATTATTCAGGTTTAGGCTCGCTCGAGTATATTTATATGACAAGGAGACAGACGTGTTTGGAAGTAAAGAACTCTCTTGCGAGGACGTTGTCTACAGTACATCGCGTTCCGAAATCGACTACAAGGTCAAGTTTGGCAATTGTTTGTCGCGCCGTGAACAAGCGCCAACAGCACACCGTAACTGACTGCGAACGTATTCCACGTTGTAATGTTTTTTTTTTTGTTCGGTCGAACCCTTGGGCCCAGCCGGTTCCTCTCGTACTCGAGATGTCATGGGAGATGTTCTTGGATCCAGCGTTGTTATTACTGCTGTAACGAAGAAACGATTTCCTTAGAGGATAGGAGAGGCGTGGAGAGGAAAGAAGAGAGGAGTGCAAGAACACAAACATGTGAGAGGCCTCCATCGAACCATGTCCACCCGGGGTTGAGTAGTAGTCGGTTTTGCGGCATGAATGTGTGCGTGCATACGACCTTTCCTGCGAGAGCTACATACTGTAATCATTCGACTCAACCGTGCGGATCAGTCCACGTGGTCATCTACCGTAACTCACGATGACGCCGTAGTATTTTCGAGCGGAGACATCGAATGTATGTGCGAAACTCTGCAAATCGTCACTCAAACGCAGAGGGTGAAACGGCAAACGGCCCCACTCGTACACGACGGCGGAGCGAAAACGGCCGGAGGACGTAAGGAGCTGAAGAACAAAAGATACCTAAAATAAATCGTTTGTGACTCTTCGGCCGGCCCACGCGAGAGAGAGAGAGCGCGCGCGATCTCTCCATTGTTTCGCCGTCGAAGAGCCCGCAGTGTTTTCGGAAATTTCCGCTCTCGACTTTATTTTTATGTTACCCGACCTAGTAATAGTCAAGAAGAAAATGTCACGCTCTTACTTGTGGAAATAATCCAACTACGTAAAACACGCCGAGGCGAATGACAGCGAAGGGTCAGCAGAGAGATTGTAGTCTACGTGTGCCCAACCTGGTCAACTCGCCTATAAGCTGCTCCGAGATCGAAGCTTTTCGTCTCCATCTTTCGGCGAAACAAGCATAATTTACGCCCCTGCTTACCGTACACCAACAACCACAGCAGTTGGATGCACAGACATCGGCGACGAAGCGGGCAAAACGCAACGATGCATACCACGGACTTTTTATTATCGTCTTGAACTCGCTCACTCCTGTTAACTTGTACAACCAACCCGACCACCGCTTTGGCCACCCGCGAACAGCAATAATAAACAAAACCAGCCTGACACCAGCACCACCACTCTACCTACTAAGACGTCCTAGATCTTGTGTGTTTTTCGCACAACAGATAGTCGCAGCAAGTCTTTTTCGGCGTTTCGAAGACAATCAACCAACTTAGGCTCAAGGCTCGCACACTGTTCAATCAACCTTTCCTTGCGGAGTTAGTTGTAGGACCGGGTCACCGCAGCGGCCGGTGTTGCACGCTTTGTAGCCTGACATACACCGCGTGATGTTACAGACAACCGGCCGCTGTTGAACGCGTAAAGTAGCCTAACATACACAGCATGATACACTACTCCCGGGGAACGTTAGCCGCCTACTAGTTGGCGCGTTCCACCATCGTCCATGGGGACAAAAAAAATGAAAAATCGTTAAACAACAACATCCTTACATGCGCCCTGCCGCGAAGCCTTTGCGCTCATCGAGTAGAACGTCAGCAAGCTGTCGCGGTTCCCAAAGGTAAACAAAAGCCGAAATCACCCCCACGTGGGTGTGTAGCACGCCATGCTGCACAACAAGCAACAGCCAAGCTAAAAAGCGGGTTTTCCACAAGTGGAAAACAAGAAAAAATCGAGCCCTCGTGCAAATGGGGAGAAGCCAGCCCGCCATGCAGCACTAAAAGCAACGGTTGCACACATGCTCTAAAAGCATGCCATACACACTTTATCATCGCCGAGTCGCTGCGAGCCCGCCACTCATCAACTCATGCAGCGTCCGTTCCCCTGCCCCCGCGCCGTTCGAGACCGCCTTCGTCTTGCCGCCCCCTTTCGCGTTCCCCCTGACCGGCTGCTGAACGTTCTGGGAGGACCCCTTTTTCCCGTTCGCCACTCCCGCTCCTCCTTTGCCACCGCCGCCTTTTTTCTTCTTTCCGGAGATGACGCACGCCCCCGCCTCGCGATAAAGCGCCGGGATGTCCTCCGCCGCCGCCGGCAAAACAGGAGCGGCGCCGAGCCGTCCGCCACCACCACCAACCCGTAGGCGCTTGTTGTTGTTGGTCCACCCGCGCTGCTGCTGTTGCTCCGGGGGTGACGCCATTTCCGGGCCTTCACCACTAAGGTCGAAGAGAGGAGTCCCACCTGAAGACAACGTTGTCGGCACCGTTGTCGGCACCGCTGCCGCCGCCGCCGCCGCCCCCGTTGCGATCGTGAAACCGCCCAGTCCGTCGGCGACGATTCGCCGTCCCCCCCCGCCACCCCCGGGGGCGACGCCCATGGTTCCGCCGCTCTTCAGGGAAGACAGGTCCACCTTGCGCCTGCTCAGAAAGACAGACCGTTCGCAGCAGCGGCGGCGTAAATGGGTGAAGAACGAACACGCGTCGGGGGGGGAGGGGGGGGGGGCTAAGAAGAGGCCAAATAATAGTTATCGTGGGCTCTTTTCAGCCAATAATAAGCGTACCCGAGCGTGGCTGGTGGAATGACCGCCGCCAGTATGCTAACCCCCGTTGGAGAGGGCTTTCGGCCGCTGCTTGCCGGTAACGGGCGAATATACACGAGCGGACTGAATTCTGCGGCCATGTCGAAGTACTTCGAAACCGCGTCCAACGGCCAAATCCGACACGGTTTCGTCCGCTGGCCCTTCCACGTTGCGGAGGAGCTATTGCCATCTCGATATGCTGTTGTTGGAGTCAAGCTATGTCCCGCCTCAAGTTGTTTCCTCATAATTACCTGCCAGCCATGCCCCGTTTAGACGTCCCCGCCAGCATCTGAAAATTTCCCCCGACGCCGCCGTTGCCACTTGCCGCCTCGAACGGGTCCGGAGCACCGGCCACCTTCAATAAATATGTATTAAAACAAAAAGGAAACAGCACACAGGTGATGATGCGAGTTGGCGGGGCGCGTGCACCTGTAGGCTGGGCGGGTTGTACTACATCAATTCCGCCCCCCCCAAAAGATAAGGTGGGCCGCGAACACGTGTCTTGTTTTTGTTTTGTCTCGTCCACGATCGGCGTCGTATTTTCTCGAACTTCGTCCGGGTGGCAAGGACGATACCAACGGAAGACGCACACACGCGCTTAGGGCACACGCATAGACGTGGTGCGTTTTATATCTTGCCACAAAGAGTGTCGTACAGTGTATTCAAGCGTGCTCGATGCAACACACAAAAAAAAATGATGCACATACTCCCCTTCGGGATTCAGATCATGACCTGTGGAAACGTTTTCCGTCTTTAGCCACGCTATGATCGACGTCTTTTCATTGGTCAGCCAGTTAGCGCGGTCGATGCTTTTGAAAGAAACACACACACGCACACACACACACACACACATACTGCCCCCTCACGGGGTCCCAGTTCATGGCAGATATAAGTGTTTCGTGTTTTCAACCGCACTAAGACTGACGTCTTTTCATTGGTCAGCCGGTTATAGCGCGGTCGATACTAATAACAAAAAAAAACACACACACACACCAGGCCCACACATGAGGCCCACACACACACACAAGCCGTTCCGCCCGCGTAGGCACAACGCGAACGCATGCATGCATCTGCCGAAAGCCTTCAACAAGAGCGTACCTGTGTTTGCAATTGTCTCACTTGGATCGGTCGTCGTCGGTCAAATCGGTAGGTAAGGCTCGCGTGGCCGGACTGTGAGAACGGCTACCCAAAAGACCACAACACTGCTGCTCTACGCCCACACGGCGGCGCAATCACCCGGCATCCGCAGTGCGCTCTCAAGCCCCCCCCCCCCCCCCCCCCCCCCCCCTTTTCCTAAAAAAAAATTTTTTCTAAATAAAAAAATACAATAAAAAAAAAAAATTTAAAAATACCCCCCATAATATAAAAAAACACATAAAAAAAAAAATTCTTTTTTTTTTTTATAAAAAAAACCTAAAATTTTTTTTTTTAACATTAAAAAAAAATTTCCCC